TACGAGCATCCAGAGGCCAAAAAGCTTGAGAACTGCTGCTAAAAAGAATCATACCTGAGTGCCTGAGAGCTTGTCCAAAATCAGAACAGTTCTCCAGGAAGTCTGTATTCAAAGCAAAATAGATCCCTGCACATCACACACACTGGAATGAGCCACCAGCCACTGTTAAGGGATGGTACAGCACACACATCAAGGCTGAATTATTTCTCACTTTCACAGCCTACAAGGTCTCACAGTTGAAATTAAGCTAGACAGGTATCATTTCAACCAAGTATTCTCCACCAATTGTCAAAATACAACAGAACTTAACGATGAACCTATTAGGTAGGAAAGACTGCCAGAACAAAGAGAAAGGGAGGCAGTTTCAATAAGCATTATTGCTGATAATACGGAAAAATAAAAGGAGCAGATCTATGTTAAAGACTAACTTTTCAACTCCAGAAAAAAAAACAAGTATTCTGAGAGATGCACATGGCAGCACAGAAAATGAGAAAAATACAGTCCATAAAAGGTTTCTAATCTTGTCCATAAGGGAAGAACAGAACATTTTCAATACAAAGTTAATCATTTCCTTGCTGAAAGCACATTTTCGCAATATTTCCCTTTGATAAATTTACTCCAAATTCATCAAGCAGAGGTGCATGATCTGCAGTGAGTTTGTTATTAACCAAAACAAAACTGAGGACATCTATTAGGAGAAGTTCTTTTATCACAGGAATATAAGCATTTGTCTTTCTTAATGAATAGTGACTTTCACTAACCGAGAGAGTCACTCAAGTTGTGCCCTCAAGAAGAATCTGCCTTGAAAGAAAAATACCACAACAAAGATAGAAGACCAAAACACAAAAATAGCTGGGTGAGAAAACACATAGAAAGCATGTACCATTCAATGATCTCTCCCTTACTCCCACAAGCAGAGACATTGTGATAATAAATTAACGAGATCAATAAAGCTTCCAACATTAACAAACATACATACAGTAACAACCACGTGCAGGTATCTAGAGTCACAGTCTGCCGTTAGTCTCTTTTCAAAATGCTTAAGAAAAACTTCTGCTCAATTAAAACGAAATTCACCGTTTCTTACTCCAAATTTAGTTCTACTTTCTAATCTCTATTCATTTATCATCAATGGCAAAAACATTTCCTCAATTTCAACACCAGGGCTCATCGTAGACATCTCTATTGCCATCAGTCTACATCCAAATATTTCTTTGAAAATATCTCATGGATGTGCACCTTCCTCTCCATTCCTATTACCCACATAAATCCAGGCTTTCTGCAACAAACTCTTTTTTCCTGCCTGCCTACCTGCCTTCAATCCTCTCTGCTGATGAGCAACAAAAACTGCTCCTGAACAAATGTTTTTATGTCATTCACTTCCCTACTCCATAGGGCAACTTCCTGTTACTTTCTTCAAATTCTTCTTTGAATAAGTCAGATTAAGAAAGAAAAAGATCATACACTTTTAAAGGATGAATTAAATCATATCTCAATAAAACTGTCATAAAAGGAGAGAGGGAGGAAGCAAGGCAAGGAGCTATAGAAGAGGGAAGGAGGAGGGGTACTCAGTGCCCCCAGTTAAGTGCTCTCTCAGACCCTGCTTCACGCACCCTGGCGCTCAAAGACCCAGAGCCCTCCACCCGAGGCAGAGGCAGCCTGGCCTCCCAGGAACCAATTCTATGCCGTGAAACTGAGTCTTCATCAAACGGATACAGCTCTCTTAGGAAATACATTCCTCCAGCAGCCAGAATCTAAAACCTTAATATCTGTACTCGTTTTTCCATTACTGGCCTCCCAAAAAAGTACCAAAAAAAAGAAAGAAAGGGAAAAAACTTCCTTCTCCATGGCTGCCCACTGAAAACACAGAGTATAACTAAAACGTCACGAGTCTCTTCTTTACAGTTCCCCCAACCACTTGGTGTAAAGCACAGTTTCCAGGCCCCTCCAGCACTCTTCTGGGCAGAGCACCTGCAGCATGGTATCAAGTTCCAGGGGCGGCGTGACTTTAAAAAGGAATGACTTCCTTTGATCAGTATTGATGTAACTAAAAACTAAGTTCATTTTCTGGTTTCTTTTGCACAAGATAATAAAACATGGGCTTCCCAACTCATATTAAGCTGGCATCTGCAAAGTTTCTATAAATTAGCAAACCCATAAAACCAACTCTATCACTGCGATGAAATCCCACATTAGATTGCAATGCGAAATGCAAGAGAGGGGTGAAAAAAGGAGACTGCAATTCTCTGGCAAATTCTCTTATTTCCTCACAAATAAGCCCTGTCAGATCTTTGCGCAACATTTTTTATTAGATTCACTGGATCATTTTTCATAATACTCCACTACATTCCAGATAAGCAAACTCACCAGCTCCACAAAACGCCAACTTCCCATATCCATTTATGTACCTTCGCACACGACAAAATCTAATGAACGGGTTGCTTAAAGTTCTGTAAGCCACACAATGAACAAATTTTGCTTCTCAAAATGACTGTTAACTCCCCAAAAGGTGCATATCTATTTTATATTTGATTTAATTTTCTCAGGACACTCCACATAGCGCCTTTGACACATCCCATTTCTGGAACACCAAAAAAGATGAGATCTACATGGAAAACAGACTAGACTATCAAGTTATCCACAAGATTCTGAATAATCATTCATAATCCATCTCTGTGTTAAAATAGAATTATCAAAAAGAAGAGTTAAACAGTCCAAGACAGAAATCCCAGATTTTAAGATCAGACTTCACTGACAGTGAAACAATTAGCAATCTCATGACGTTTCTTTAAATTCAAATAATAACTTTTACCATGTGCCAAATCAAGGTACAACCTAAAATTATTAAAATGTTAACAGTTACCAGTGTCCAAACAGTGAGAATAAAGGGTAAAAACAAAGATTTACAGAGGATAGGTTTATCTTTTTGAATTTCTAAACTTGAAACTCTCTTGATCACTAAATAAATAGAATTAAAATCCCCAAATCAGAATCCTCAATAAAGTCAGACTCCAAAAAGAAAAAAATACACGAAGCAAAACATTAAATGCACTTGCCACACTACAGTATTAAAAAAAAAAAGTAATCTGATCACACAAAATTCCAATGAAAGTGGTTTAAATTAATTATTTTTAAAGTAAGCTTCCAATTAAACTCAACACATAGAAATACTACAAGGCATAATAATCAAAACTAAAAGTATGACAGTATCTTACTAGATGCGAGTTAGAATAATACAAAAAACATCAGGCATCCAAAGCCTAACTCTGCAATTCAACCAACCTCACAGCTGGATTTTCATTCTTCATCAAGTAAACATACACCAAAACCCTTCATTCTCAATTTCAAAAAAGGAAAAGAAAAGGCCTTTCCTGTTAAAACATACATCGTTCCATTTCTCCAACTATCAGTATTTGAAAATTTGGTAACAAAAGGAGCATGGACTATGAAAACAGCTGGATATTTATGTTAGAAACACGATCTTCTAAAAGGACTTCACAATAATGAGCCATACACATTAGGCAATTCTAAGCAAATGTGTTTTTACATTTGACAGGATTCTAGACTGAGATCTCTGTGGCCCAATCAGATCAAACATTTAGGATGCATCTAAATCCCCAATCTCAAACTGAAATGGGGAAATTTGTTTAATTACTGTAAATCCTATTAAACCAATCTTCTTTGTGAAGTAGAAAGCTCCAGCCTCTGAGGGCGTGGAGGGTGTAAGAACACACAGCTTAATTAGGGCCCACGGCTGGCTCACTGTAATCTGTTCATTAGCATTCTCCATTCTCTAGATCTCACTGCAGTATTTCACTTTACTTTAAAATTGTACCCTTCGCTTTTTGGACCAAAGTCATACAATTTTAGGATTGTGTGGTAATTACAGTGGGTGCAGGAAGACTGCATTCCTGCCAGCACTGGTGTTTAATTAGGGCAAGGGGTGGAATCTCGACATGGCAGCGCTCGCCCTCCTGCAGCACATATGGTTTTTCTGGCATCGCAGCTCTGGGGACTGTGTCACCTCCACTGGACTCAAGTGCTCAGTCCCCACCACAGACTTTTTGGAAGATTCAAATATTTGGTCTTTGGATGTAGCTTGATGATCAGAAAGATTACCGTCATCGCTTTTTATCCATACAGCTTTTAAAAGCATAGCCATAATTAGGCCTGAATTATTTGAAAATAAAGAAGTAAGCCAATAATTTTTTCCTAGTTAAAATGGACATTTCCAAGTTGCCTGATGACAAAAAACTTCTTGGTAATAGGCATATTTTCAGTATCACCAAAAAGGTACACTGGAGGCTTAATTCAGTGATAAATTCACTAACCTCAACTTAACACTCAACTTCTACCAAAACCCACTTTAAATTTTATACATACCAAGATGCCTTTCTTCCACCTTAAATCCTTAAATCTGAGGAATTAAACAACTTAAAAAAAAAAGCATCCTGAGGTTAAACTTTCATAAGTGTCAACACAAAGAACTGCTACTTATTGTTGGTACTTAATAAATTTTATATCATCAATATTAACTTTTTAAAATTAATTTCCATTCTGTACCGTCAGCATGTTGGCTTGCCTTGTGATTGTTTTCTTAAGATTGACTTTTTTACCATTTACTATGGTAAATCTTAATGCTACATCCCACACTTAAGTTACATAGCCTGAGTAATTCTGATAATGGATCTTAGAGCATGTGGCAAAATGATACACTCACAAGAATTAAACAAAGATAATACATGCTGAGAGAGAAGCCAGGGAAAAGAAAGAAGCTAGAACTGCGGGGAGCAAGCAGATACAGCAACCAGAATAAAAGGCACAAGACCAATCTGGAAAAGGCTGAGAAATGGAGGCCATAAGACGCTAAGAAAAACAGGAAAAAGGAAAATAAAGGAACAAGAAGAGAAGAAAAAGAATGGCTCACTTCACTCACATACACGAATTCAGTTTCACTGACACACAGAACACAGAGAGGCAAACACACACGTAACACCAACCTGGTTTTCCTCCTGCACGACTCTGTACTGCTCCTTCCACACAGTGATCTTGGAGGCTTCGTCTTTCCGCAGGGCTCGCTCCTTCTTCAGCTCTGGGCTCCAGAAGGTCTTGATGCTATTCATGGACGAACTCAGCTTGCTCTCCTTTACTTCCACGTCCTTTCGTAGGAGATCGTTTTCCCTTAACACTTCCTTCAGCTGTGTCTGCAGATCCATGATTGTGTTGTCCCTCGCCTGGCGAAGAGAGTGAGGAACAGTGGACGCCATGCTCACTGGGGGGAGGTGATGCTCCCCGAATGCTATGGTGTCACTGGCCACCCCACTGCTGGCTATGTTGGGGCTACTGCCCATCGCTGTCATCCTCACACCGTAAGGCAGACGTCCTCCAGAACGGCCAAGCGTCATGGTGCTTTTAGGTGTTTCTGAACCCACGTTTTCATGGTCACTCAGGTACATAGGGCCAGAAGTGGCATAGGCAGCATTTAAGGACTGGATATTCTCCATTGAAAGGGTCTTCCCACTGCCACCCCCGACACTGCTTCCAGAACTCCCTCCTGTACTGTTGGTTCGACGATGACCCAAGCGAGGGGAACGTGGAAGCCTAGGTGAGCGCCCAGGGCTCTGGTTGCTTGGTTCCACCTTCCCAACTGAGCGAGCACTTCCATACATGGTTGCAAGATGAATTTCAGCGCCAGGAAAGACAGAAAGCAGAATCTGGAACTCTGCGATTTTTCTACAGCTGTAAAGTCTGCTCAAGGCTAACGAGAAATAACAGGTCCTCAGCTGTCCAGTCGTGAAGAAATAGCTTACACCATATCTGTAATGGAAAGGTCACACGTTAACTCCTCCAGGAAGAAACACTTCCACTCTCAGACACTTTTTCATTGTCCCCACTCGAGGGAGAGCCCCTGCAGTTACATTTACTCAAGCATTTGTTTACAGCACAACTTATTTCTTAGTAAACATCATTCTAAAAATATTCAACATGTCTCAAAACTGAATACTGAAACCATACTAAGCAAATGGAAAAGAAAAAGAAATATATCAGATGTATAAAGATTGGCACGAAAAACACAAAACTCAGTGTTTGAATATATGATTTTCTAACTGGAAAATCCAGGATTATCAACTGACAAGTTATCAGAATAACAAAACTCAAAAAATTGGTTAGACACAGATCAATATATAAATATCATGTATTTACATGCAATACATTGTATATGTGCAGTCAAATTGCAATAATTCTACCTAGTAAAACTGAAAAATGAAAATAAATAAATATCAATACTTTCCTGCACATCAGTAATAACAATCTTAATGCATTTTTAAATGCATTTTAAAAAAATTCCCACTCACAACAGCAGCAAAACCATAAAAACACTTTGATATAAATCTAACAAAAATGTGCAAGAAGTTTTGGAGAAACTGTAAAACTTTCCTGAACAAAAGGAAAGTTATCCATGTTCATGGATGAGAAGACAGGCACTGCGAGGGTGTCAGTTCTTCCCCAACTACTCTACCTGCCAACGAAACTCTGTACAGGAATTCTTCACATAACTCAACAAGCTGACTCAAATTCAAATGGAAGAGTAAAGGCACAACCACCATCAAAGCAATCTGAAGTAGAAGAACAAAGGAAGACATCTGCTAAAAAGTAAGACAAATTACAGATCCATTAACTTTACTTGCGATACAAAAACATTTTTTAAGCCTCTGAGAATAAGGGTTTTTTTTTCTTATTAATTCATTTAGCAGCAAAACTCGACCTGATCTGAGGTCACTTACTGTTTATATGTATCTCACCTAGTGTGATTACTCATGCACTTTATTGGGAAAACAATGTGTATGATTACAGGAAACTGCCTAATGCCCACTGGGCATTATCGGGAAGAATCTAGACTCCAAAACCACATCTGACTCCTAGGATTTCTCATAATGACTCAGAGCCATTTAAAGCTATAGCAATTAAAACTGTAGAGTTCTGGCTCAGGGACAAACTCTAAATTATATATGAGTGAGTTTAGTATATGCTAAAAGTAACACTGTGTAACAGAGAGGAAAAGACAAATCATTCAATAAATGGAGTTTGAACTGGTGCTCTTGGAAAAAAATAAGTTACAGCCCTACTTCACACAGTACACAGAAATAAATTTCGTGTACATTAAAGATATAAATTTTAAAACTATTAGATGTACTATAAAATTCACGTAGGTGAATACCCTTGTGAACTTGAATTAAGGTAGGACTTCTTAAATAAAAAACAAGGGGGAGGGTATAGGTTGAGGGGAGGGTATAGTTCAAGAGGTAGAGCACATGTTTAACATGCTGACGGTCCTGAGTTCAATCCCCACTACCTCCTCTAAGAATAAATAAATAAACCTAATTACCCGACCACACACACAAAAAAGAGCAAAAACCATAAAGCAAAAAACAACTAATACATTATGTCAAAATGACAAAATACACCAAAAATTAAAAGAAAAACAAAAACCTAGGTGAAAAATGTATCTAACACATGTATAAAGATCTGTATGCAAAATATATAAAGAATTCCTACCTGGGAAATGCCAGATTTGAAACAGCAGTGGTTAGAGGGGAAGGGGATTTGCCTTCTAAGGCTGGGGGAAAATGCTTGTGGAGGCTTTAGCTTCATTTATAAAGATCTGTACTCAGAATACACAAAAACTTGAAATTTTTAAAAAGCAAATATGTTCATATTCTACAAGAAGAATAATTAAGACAAAATTTAAAAACACCAATCTACTTTCTACACTTCTCTCAAACATAAATCAATACAGATCTAAACTAGATCTCTGTGGTTTCCTAGTATCAGTCTACCAAAGAATTGCCTTAGGTCAAATACAGTTTTCACCATATTAAATAATACTTTCCAAAAAGCCACTGTTACATAGAGTTGATTCTTACAACTGTTTCTTCATTGAAAATGCAATCCAAGTAAATCACGTGGTCAAAACCAAGATTTTAAAGGGTCTTTATATTCTAGTCAAACTCGAACAGGTTAAAGATCTTCATAAATAGGAAGATACTGGCAGTCTCACCTCCACTTTGGTGATCCTGTAAAGATCTCCCTCAGGTAACAGGCAGGCCAGGAAATACACAGAGCCTGAACCTTCTGTCTCAGAAATAGCAACAGTACAGCAAGTTCGGAAATTGCAATACTCTGTGAGTAATATTAGGAAATTCCCTCCCACAACTAACTGAGCTCAGAAGTAAAAACTCCTTCCCACGATTAATCTGGACTGTAAAGTAGATGACAAGTAATAATCTACATACTACTTGTTCAAGTGAATTCTATTTCAAGATCAGAGGGTTGCAGAGTTTCTTATTTTAAGTAATCTGAATATTTCTTTAAATGAGAGAACTATTCATTACCCAGAATCCCCTGAATGATAACAAAGCTAACATAGTGTCGGCACTGCGCTAAGAATTTAATAAGATTTAATTTAATATTTATAAGCACCCTACAACATAGATGAAGAAAGTAAGACCTATAGGTGCTAAGTGACTTACCCAAAGTAAAACAGCTATTAAGTGGTAGGGTCAAGCTCTGAATTAGGGTACCTAATTCCAGAGCCCTGGAGGCTCTTAACTACTGTTTACCCACTGTCATCTGCTGACATTGACATCTCAGTTGTCCACAGGATATTAAAGCCTTCCACAATTTTAAGGCAGGGTGTCCTGTTAATCCAGCACCCTAAACTTAAAGTTTAAGGCACATCTTAGGTTTTCCTGGGTAAAGCTTAAACAATCACATTTATCTTTCTATTGAAGAGAAAGTCTTTCTTAAAAGATGGTGTGCAAAAGAACCAAATAAGTAAAACTAACAAAATAAAGAGTAATAATTCAGAGTCTCAGGAATCAGGCCATCTTTAAACTGCCACATTCAAGAAAAAAATTCCCAACTGTGTTTTTGTGCAAAACTACATTTTCATATAGTCAAGTAACAAAATCACACTAAACAGGCTAAGATCCAGTAACAAAACTCCACATCCAGTTTTCAGCATTAGCAGGTGCACACTACTGTTTGAGTCACTTTCAGACCCCACATGTCACTTGCACGTGGAGCCTTTGTTACTTTCAGAATTACATTCATTTCTACAACAAAAGAAGAAAACTCACCAGCTCTATCTGAAGCCCTCACACTAGCTTTTTCTAATAGCAACTTCAGGGAAGATAGTGTTTAAAGAAAATTAATTTCCTTAAAAAATTTCCCAGACCCACAAATACAATAATTCCTGCACTTTGAATAGCTGACAAAAAAGAATTTTGACAAAATAAAAAAAGTTAAGCTGTATGACTCCATTTATATAAAATTCTAAAAGAATCTATTATGACAGAAAGTCAATCAGTACGCGCCCAGGGTTGGGGCTGAGGGATGCATGGGTAATGAGGGGCTAAAAGGAAACCTGGGGTGACGAAAACGTTCACTGTCCTGACTGAGGTGAGGCTTCCTAGGCACATACAGGTCAGAACTTACCAAACTACAGTCATTTTTAAGTGTTCAGCTTATTGTACATAAACTATACCACAAAAGTTCAAAAAAATAATTTCACATTCCAAACTCCCCTGCCCCTGATTAATCCAAGGGAAACACTTTCACTGATTACATACCTGGAACCCGACTGCTGCTGGAAAACATCGTGCAGCGGCTCAGCTTGAGCCCATAATGTGGCCCGAGTCCCACATGTCCCTGAGTTAGCCCCTACCTAGCATCCATTGTGGTTATTTCAAACCTTCTCCCTCTGCTCATCAGACAGAACACATGACTGTCCTGGGTCAGAGACAAAGAACTTATTACTCACAGCACAGCCAGCAGTACGAGCAGCTTGTTACCCTCAAGTCCTACCAGGTGACACAACGGGGCCCAGACAGATGCTACACACGCAGTGGGTTTGCTGAGGAACACTGAGTTTAGGGAATTCGCCACTTCTGCAGAAAGCAATAAGTAAGTCTGACCTCTCCCAAAGCGAGACATTACCTCATCCCTCAAGGTGGCTTGCTGCAAACACAAACCTCAGAAATGGCCCAGGTTAACAGCAGTCAGGGCCTTGCATTTAGAGCATGCAGGCAATAAGAAATCCTAGAAGACTCACTCTCCTGACAAGCATCTGTTGTAGTTTCAAGGTACCTTTGTAAATCTTTGATACTCCCTCCCTTCAAGGGGGGAAGCAAAATTCCTCTTCCTCTGAATGTGCATGAGACTTCAATGATTTGCTTCTAATGATGTATCATTTCCAAGACTAACTCATAAAAGACACTGGGGCTTCTTTCTTGGTCATTATCTTGGATCACTCGCTTTGCGGGGAGCTGGCTACCATGTTGTAAAGGTAATCATGCTACCCTAGAGAGAGTGCCACACAGTGAGGAACTGAGGCCTCCTGCCAAGAGCCACGGGAGATGGCTCGGAAAGGATCCTCCAACCCCGGTCAAGCCTTCCAATGTCCGCAGACTCAGCTGACACCTTGACTGCAACCTCATGAAATACCCTGAGCCAGAACCACTCAGCTACACTCTTCTAAGAATTGTAAGACAGTGTCTGCTTTTTCAATCCAGTAAGTTTTGAGATAACTTCTTATACAAGAGATAACTAACACAGTATTGTTTCCTGAAACTTCTGTTTCAGGTGTGCATATGGCACACACGTGCATACTGGATCACAATTTAAAATGTGTCTTTTTGAAGGTTCTAAACAATTCTCAACACCACCGCCAGAATAATCTTCTAATATGACTCTCCAAGTGAGTCAAGCTCCCTGTTACCCCCAAGCTCCAAAGATGACACAGAGCGGTCTAAAGA